GCGACTGGTAAATCTCTCTCGATCAAACTACAAATTAATTATTATTATTATTATCATTATTTTTTTTTTTTAATTTGACGAAACAAAACCTGAAATTGTTTTTTTTTTTTTTTTTTTTTATAGAATATTTGATTATATATTTTTTTTTTATTTTTGTATATAGGACGGTTTATACTGTTCGGTAAAAAGAAATAATTTGACAAAAATGTTCATACTGTTTGGTAAGAAAAAATAATTTTTCAAAAATGTTCATATTGTTTGGTTAAAAAAAAAAATTTTTTTCTCTTTTTTTAACGAAAAAAATTAAAAAAATTATTTTTCAATTGCTCTTTTCAAAATATTATGAGAGATAATATTTATAATTTCGTTATTTAAAGCTTGAAAAACTTTGAAGAAAAATAAGAACAAAGTTAACACTGTTTCTTTTTTTTTTTCTTCTTTTCTTTTTCATTTTCTTATTTTTTTTTTGCAATTTTTATTCCAATTCATTAATTAAGATAAAATATGGTAAAATATACTTTAGGGTCTCTTTTGCATATTAGAAAAATGAAACTTTTGAGAAAATATATTACTTTAGGGAAAAAATAAATCAACTTAACCGTGTAGCAGGTATAAATTAAAGTTATCATTCGAACACATAACATTTTTATACAAAAAATAAAACGTAACAAACGTGCTCCTGTAAAAAAAAAAAAAAAATCATAACAAATGGACAAACGATAAGCGTTTAAAAAGCATTGATCGTTGTTTAAAATCATTTTCACGTGTTATCAATTTGCCGTTAAGAAAGAAAAACAAAACAAAACAAAACAAAAAAGGTTACTTCGATAGAGAATACTTTCTTATTACGAGTTGTTCCAAACTTTCTCAAAAAAGAAATCAAACCAAAGTAGAAAAGAAAACTATTTTGAACGTCGTAGTAGTAGTAATCAGGTAAAGGGGATGGATGGATGGATAGATGGGTGGATAGATGGTCGCCTTACTAAGAAAACGATTCAAGATAAATCTTGAAACGAATCGTAAGAGCATCGAACCGAATAGAAATAGACTAGACCAGATAGGACAAAATGAAATGGGGGTGAGATTGAGAAGAAGGGATGGATTAGTGGGTGGTATGTGGGGGGGGGGTAGAAATAAAAGTGTCGATTTAAACGGTGGACGATTGTTGTGTGAGAGTTTGAGAAAAACGGGTTCAGATACTTTGTTATTGGTAGAGAAGAAAAAAAAACAGCTGAGATAGGAACAAAATAATTCGAGTTAAAAAAAAAATACAAAACAAAAAAAAGATAGAGATAGAGATAGTAAAAAAGACAAAGACAATTAAATAGAGAGAGAGAGAGAGAGAGAGAGGGAATGAGGTATAGTAAGAGAATAAGAAAAATGTATTAGAAATTGAGAAAGAAAGAAAGAGTGAGAAAGAGGGAAGATAGGTGAGAGGTAGGTGGTTAGGGGGTAGGAAGAAGAGGAAAAGAGTGCGTAAGAAATTGAGAGAGAGAGAGAGAGAGAGAGAGAGAGAGAGAGAGAGAGAGAAAGGTAGAGTGTGAGAAAGAAGGAAGATAGGTGAGGGGTTAGAGGTTAGAAAGAGGATGAAAAGAGTGTGTAAGAAATTGAGAGAAAGAAAAAGGAAAGGTGACAAAGAGGGAAGATAGGTGAGGGATAGGGTGTAAAGGGGGTAGGAAAAGGGAGGAAAAGAGTACGTAAGAAATGGAGAGAAAGAAAAGGAAGGGATGACAAAGAGGGAAGATAGGTGGTTAGGGGTAGGAAGATGAGGTGGAAAAGAGTGGGTTAGAAATTGAGAGAGAAAGAAAAAGGTGTAAGAAAGAGGGAAGATGATAGGTTAGGGGTAGGAGGTTAGGAAGAGTGGGTAGGGAGGTAGGAGGTGGAAAAAGAGGAGGATGGTAAGTTTAAGGAGGAGAGAAAAACGGTAGGCTATGTTGTCCATTAGCTGGGACGTGTCTCTCGATGGGGAAAAGATGCTCGAAGAGAATACAAGGAGCCTCTCCTCTTTGGAGGGAACGTCGAAGGATGAGAAGGATGAGGAGGAGAAGAAGAAGGATACCGTGTTCCGGTTAAACGGAGAAAATAAAAACGTCGGTCTTCATCCATCGGAGGAGGTTCGTCCGAGAGCTTCTTCCTACCTTCGTCAGACTTTGAATACCAGTGAGTAAAAAGAGTATTTCTTCTTTTTTTTCTTCTTCGTTTTTCATTTTCTTTTTTTTTTTTTAGTTTTCCTTTTCTTTTCTTTTTGTTTTATCTATTTTTCAATTTCTCGAAAGTTTTTCAATCGATAAACGAGCTTTTGTTGGAATGTTTTTGTTGTTTTTTTTTTTGTTTATCTTGTTGTTGCTCGTAATTTTAATATACGGATTAAATTATGCAGAGAAATATTAGGAATCACTTTGAAAGTATGTTAAATTATTTATATACGATAGTATAGATAAGAAAAAAAAAATGATTTTATTTATATTTAGTTTAAAATACAAAAGATTCTTACGAGTTATAGTTAGGTTATGTTAAAATGTTTCGCGCGCTCACCGATATCTATGATGAACAGATGGAACTGGACTTTATCTGTATTTTTCTCTTTTTTTTTTAAATTAATTAATTATTTCATAAGTAAATTAATATAATAAAAATCTAGCTGTATGCAAATGCAACGTTGTGTCCAAATTTCGTAACAATCGGTAAAGTACTTTCGGAGATTAGTGGTTAGGAACAAACGATTAGGTTATGTTCAAAAAATCTACGATCAACAGATGGTGCTGGTTTCTTACTTGTATCTTTTTCTTGTTTTTTTTTTTTTTTAAATTAATTAATTATTTTGTAAACCTAGTACACTAGTAGTAGTATTAAGAATTCATCTTGTTTATAGTTTTAAATATGAATTTTGAAAAATGGGCAAAATTACAGCTACCATGACGACAACGTTAGTCGGTGAAAGACGAAGATCAACGAACATTAACAACGATAAGGCAAAAACTCGTAAGAAAAATCGTCGAATAAAAAATAATAATAATAATAATAATATGCAAAATAATAATCCATCGTATAACATTGATACGGACATTCGTGATAACGAGATAAAAGGTAGTGGAAGAATATCACAAACGAATGTTGAAAAATTAAACATGGATTCGTCTGTGTTGTCATCATCATCGTCATCGAAAAAGTCGAGGTACTCTCAAACGAGAAAGTTTCGTGCAGAACGACGAAGAAGACGAAAGAATAGGGATAGGAAAAGAAATGGTGGTGGTGGTGGTGGTAGTGGAGGTAGAAAAAGGTTCAGGCAAAACGAGGATAAAAAGGACGACGATGAGAGACGAACGTCGAAGTTTAAGAAACGACTGAACGATCCTTCTTCCATGGAACGAGATCACCAACTCTTCAACAACAATTCTACGAACATAGGTACGACGTTTTTGAACGTTAAGAACGTCAGCATTTTCGGACAGGATTCTACTAACAATTTGGAGAGTTTCGATTCGACGAGTACCGGTGGTCCTTCCAATCTTCGTGCACCACCACAACCACCACCACCACCACCAATGACGACTACTACGATAGTAAATGGGGAGAAAAAAAGTTTAAACCAAGTTTTACCATCACCTCGTAGAGATGTGTATGCCGAAAATGTTGAGAGGGAACTTTCCAAACAGCTGGAAAAGGAAATCGCTAGATCAGGTATATATATATGTAGTATGTTTAATAAATTTGTTTTTCTTGAGAAGGAGAAAGTTTGAAGATAGGTTACAAGTTACGTGTAGAGTATTGACAATTTTGTAACGACGATATTGAAAAGGGTCTCTCAATTTATATCTATATGAATAAGAAAAATTTGTTGGAACATTAATTTTTATTAGTTGTTTAAAGCGTTCACAAAATAAAATATATGTAATCTTTGTATCATAGGGAAGTTTATTTATTATATTTATTAGGACTTCTTTAGCAACTAGAAAATACAAAATTAGATATCCTCAAAAATACATAGTTCGTTGAAACACTAAATGTATAACAATAATTTTTTATTTATACCTCGATCAGCAATGTTTCGAGTATTTTATATATTTTTAAGGTTATGTAATTTTTGTATTTTATAATACATAAATTAGACCTAGCATCAATAAATCGTAATTATCTTGTTATTTAATTTTTATATATAATAATTTAACAAAAAAAAGAAAAAAATGAAACAAGTATCCTACATTCGTACTTTATCCCTTAGATTCATTAAAAAAACCAGAATTTTGTCAATTTTTCTTTCTATAAGTTTTAATTTATGACCCACAGGTATGATCAATTTAAATGACCGAGTACTTAGCAGTTCTACCAATCATCGAGATAATACACCATTGTACGATGATAAATATAAAGTATCTAACGAGATAACTGTAGATGACAGAGTTAGATTCGGTAATTCGCGTTACGACGCTGACAAAATGTTAGGTTATTCACGTACGGAGGAAGACTTACCAATACTTGACCTTGAAAATGAAGTACTAGCAAGAACAATGAAGGATTATAACGCTTACATGACATCAAGCTTAAAACTACGCCAAGATCGTCCTCCAAAATTCACTTCACCATCTCGGTTACATGATCAACCAATCGTCTCTTTAACTAGTACCACAACTACTACTACCACTACTACTAGTTCTAGTAGTAGTACTACCAATACGTTCGACGAGGATAATCTGAAAGGCGACTTATCCTGCATAAACGGGACTTTCTTGCCGGCACCACTGGCACGACACGCTCTTATCAAATATGTAAAGTGAGTATAGGGAGATTTTGTATGAATTATTCAATTCGTTCGTTCGTTCCTTCCTTCCTTCGTCACATATAAATATACTATATGCATATATATATATATATATATATATATATATATAGTGTGTTATAAATTAAAAATTTTCAATGCTTTCTTTTATACAAGCTTTCCTATATGACTGTATTCACGATTTTTCAAATACAATTATACACAATAAATACAATACAATAATACAAATATATTACATATTTTTTAATATAATATTATAATTAATATAATAAATTTATTCAATTACTAAATTAATATAATATATATATATATATAATTTATAATTAATATAATATAATTTATACTTTTATTTTTTTAAAGGTACCTTTATTTTTTTAAGTGGTATTCTATGTATTCTATATGTATACATACATTGATACTAATATACTTAATATATTTTAATCTTTAATTCTATTTTTCATTATTTTTCTTTTAACACTTGGTATGACATTATTCGAATAAAAGTTAAAAAAAAGAATTGATCATTAAAAGTTGTTCAAAGTTTGTTTTTTTGGGTTAAAATGCATCAGGTTAAAATTCAAAGTGGAAATGTGTGATTACTTTTAAATGTAACTACTGTAACATATATGTATATATATATATATATAGAGAGAGAGAAAGTATTCGAATTCAAAGGTGCAAGGTGGTACTTTTTCGAAACGTGTGAAAGATTTTCAACGGTGTTTATGGGATTGCCGTAAGATTGGCTATCTCTTCTATACCGTTGTACAGTAATCCTCTCCATTTTCTTTTTCTTTTTAACCTCGGCAAAGTTTTCTTCTATTTTCACACTACTACACCTTGTCGTTTCGTCTCTCGTCTGTATAACACCTTTACCTTACTTTACCTTACCTTACCTTACTTTACCTTACTTCACTTCATCTCGTCTCATCTCATTTCATCTCACCTTTAAAACCACTACTACTACTACTACTACTACTACTCGATTACATTTGCCGTTCACACGAATGAAATGATCATCCTTTTCCAGCTTCAAACAGATGCCGGATAATCGAATATTTTCATTTTGTTTTTTTTACTTTAATGTTTATTTCACCAAAGTCTTCTTTTTTTTAATTTTATTTTACACAGAGATTTTATTTTATTTTATTTTTTTTTTTGACTAAATTAATTCATCCTTTTTTTTTTTTTTAGTTTTTTTTTCTAGAGTATAGAAAAAGATTTTAAAAGTATTATAAAAATATTATATATGCAATTTATATATGTATTTTATAAATTATATAATATATATAAAATTATTATATTTAAATAGTTTAAAATAAAGTTAAAATAAAAATATAGTAATTATATATATATATATATATATATATATATATATATATATATTACATTTACAATTTAATATATATATATATAAAATTTGTATTATTTCTATCATCTCATTTTAATATATTTTTGTTTGAAATTTCAACAAAACGAGAAACGAGACGACTGTGTTTTTTTTCTTTTTCTTTTTGTTGAGAAAAAAATTGGAAAAAAAAAATAAATAAATAAAAAGAATTATTGTAGAAAAATATTTTCCACATTAAATTTCAATCGCATTTCTATCGGTATCAATTCTAGTAGATACACTAAAGAGCTTTTAATTGACGCTTTCATCGATAAAAGCTTCTCGAGGCTGTCTCGAGGACCTAGAAAGAAATCGAGAAATACTATTAACGATTTGACTTTGTTTAAAAGTATTCAAATTATTTTTTTTTTTTGAAGAGAGGAAATGGGACATCTCATATTTTATGAACGAATTTAAATTTATAAACTTTTTGTTCGTTAATTAATTAGGAAAAAACAAAAACAAAGAAACGTAAAACTTTCCTACAACTTTTATTCGATAAAAACAACTCATAAATACAGTCTAAATAAAATTGAATTAACAACAATTGAATTGAATTGAGAATTTTTATTGATTATTATTTTATTAAAAAAGAAAAAAAAAATTGAATATTTGTTATATTTTTTATTGTTTTTGTATCATAAATAATGTTTGTAAAAATGTGAATGTTTAAAGATCATCCGTGCCAGGTCACGAGTATCTCGAAGCTGATTACGAGTGTGCACCTGGTTTTTACATGATCTCAACGGGAAGTCGATTATTATGTAAAAATCGTCAATGGATCGGTCAAGTACCAAAATGTAAACTCAAACAAGCACCTGATGGTGTCTGTTCTGAAGTATCCTGCGAACACGTTTGTAAGGAAATCGATGGTAGAGCTGTTTGCTCTTGTTATAATGGATTTCGTTTGGAAGCATACAAATGTATAGGTGAGTTATCAATTTGTTTATTATATTTTCATCAAATTTATTTACATTATTTATAATTCGTATTACAAAAATTATACTCTTATATTTAAAGAAAGAAATTTGTTAATGGCCCATTACTCGCCAATGGGCCTTTTTCTAGAACGCATTTTCAAATTGTTTTTGTTTTTTAATAACCGCATCTTCAAAATCAATTAAATATTCGTCAAAATTAGGAAATTTTATTTGTCATTCGTGAAAATATTACATATTTTTACTTTTTTAATTTTAAGTCAATAATATGAAATAATTTTTTTTTTTTATTTAAATAGAAAAAAAAAACAATACTCTTTATTTTTTGCATTTTCATATTGTGTCAAGTAATGGGTTAAATATTTTGTACAAGTATTAATCGATTTATGTTAATTCGAAACAAAACAAAAGAAACATTTTTCAAAGGAAAATTTTCTGTCATTGTGTTCGATATATCGATATTATTTGTCGATAAACCATAATTCCCAATATTAATCTCGATGTCCACGAGCTATTAGAGTACAGTAACCGCAAATTAAATCTACACGTAGCCATTACTTTACGTTTCTATACAAACCAATACACGTATATATATCCATATACTTACACATAAGTATTATATATATATATATATGTATATATATATATTTTACATGTACTTGCAATTAAATTTTGCCGCGTTGAACGAACCACACGAGTGCTTTCAATTAATTTCTTCATTTTTTTTTCTTTTATGTATATCCCTGTATTTGTAATAGTCTCCCCCCTCCCCCTCGACCCCTCGCCCCCTCCACCAGTGCTTTTGCAAATTCTTTACAAAGGAAAATTTCAATATTATCGGAATAAATGTAACGATAGTCATTTGCAAAAAGCTTTCAAGGTATTATTACGATGTTATAGAAAAGAAATTATCATTTTAATAATGGAATAGGTTTAATGAGTAAAAAAAAAGAAAATATAGAAAAAAAAAAAATTAAAAATACAATAAGGACAGTATTAAAGAATACGTGTAAATATAATTATATAGATATATAAAGTAAAAATAAAATATATGTATTATAAAATACATATAATAATAATAATAATAATAATATATTATTTTATAAAAAAATTGTATTATATTTTATTTAAAAAATTATATTATATTATATTATTTTTTTTTTTTAATTATATTAAATTTTATATAATATAATATAAATTAAATAATATAAATATAAAATAAAAAAAAAACTATATTATATAAAATACAAAAAATTAAATGTAAATTAAAAGAAGAAAAAAAAGAAAATTATATATATATGTAACATATATTAAATGAAAAAAAAAAGAAAAAAAGAGGGGGTAACATTTAATTGGTTCGAGTAACTGGTGTGTAAAATCACGTGTAGTGTATATACCCTGTCGTCGTGCCAGTGTCAACTAGACACTTTGTGTTTTATTTTAGTCTTTTTTTTTTCTTGTTCTATTTTCTCTCTCTCTTTCTCTCTCATTTTGTTCTTTTTTTTTTTTTTTTCATTCAAACCGCAGACGTGAACGAATGCGAGGAGAACAACGGCGGCTGTGAGTACAAATGCGTGAACACTCCTGGATCTTTTCGATGCGAATGTCCGAAGGGAATGAAACAGGGCGAGGACAGGTTCACGTGCATAGGTGAGCGATTTACGAGCAATCTAAAACGTCGGATGTGATGCTCAGGGAATTCGTCGATGGCATTTCGTTCGGATTCTTTTCAATCAATGAGAATCCATTCGCTGATCTATTTTTTTTCCTTCCTTTTTTTCTATCCTATAATCACCGTGGCAAAAATTATTCTCAAAGATTAGAAAGAAGATCACCCAACATTCATTGATTAAAAATAAAATCTAACATTAACCAATCACAAACGATAATCATCCAATTATAACACCTAACTTAGAAAAAATAGTATAATTAAATTAAATTATTATTTGTTACCAAAAAAAAGAAAAAAAAAAATTAAACTCTACAGTTGCACGCTTGAGTTAACTCGAGCGACGTTTTATTTACGTTGAGCCAAAATTGTTCCTTAATGGGTTAATTTAAAAATATAAATATAAATTAATACAAAAAAAAATTAAATAAATAAATCAATAGAAAATAAAACAAAATAAAATAAATAATAAAATTTGATTTCATTAATTACACCTTGAATTAAATAAAAAAAAAAAAAAGAAAAAGTAAAATAAATTCAACATAATTTTCAGATATAAATGAATGTTTGTTGAACAACGGACACGGTCCTTGTCAGGACACATGTCGTAACCTCATAGGTGGTTACGAATGTTCCTGCGAGGGTCTTCAGGACACTGTCCTGTCTGCCGATAACCACACGTGCCAGAATGCAGGTCCATGCAGTGTCAACAATGCCGGATGTTCTCACACTTGTCTCTCGACGATGGGTCGAGTGTTCTGCCTCTGTCCGGACGGCTTCATGCTCGAGGACGACTGGAAGACCTGTCAAGGTAAACCTCATCATTTCCCTTAGGATATACGGTTCGTTCGTTTAATCGCGTTAATTGAATACCGTAGAGAGAAACTTGTCTTTGGTATGGCAATATCCTTATCAAATCGTATCCTTTTACACGCATACCATGCATACATGCATACATGCATTTATTTCATATATTAGAGTGTTTCCTTATTTCTCAAAATAATTCAAATATTATTGTTCATTGAATTATTTAAATAGTTTTTCATTTAATTTCATCTTATCTTTTATATTAATTAGTTTGTAATTATTTAAGAGTCATTAATGTGATTTTGCATTAATTGGATAGATAAAAGTTATTGATAATAATTAAGATTACTTTTATGGAATATTACAATTTATTTATGAAATATCATATATTATTTTATTTATATAATATAAATAAAATTTATTAATTATATTAAACAAATTTATTATTAAAAATAATTTAAATAAAATTTATATTATATTATATATTATAATTATATAAAATATATAATACATAAAGATAAAAAATAAAATATTAAAATAATAATATAAAATAAATTATATTAATTATAAATAAATATTAAATTTGTGTTTACGCTATAAAAATTTATTTTTACACTTAATAATAATTTAAAAAAAAGAAAAATAAAATGTACATAAATTTGTTTCAATTTATAAATCAATATATACCCTAGTAGTACAAAATATTGAAAAATATTGAATACATTTGTATTTAATATTAAACACAGAGATTCAATGTTTTCTCTACCAAAACCAGTCAAAATGATTGGTTTGGTTTCTAATAAATTTGATATATTATATATATATGTGTGTGTGTGTGTTTTATGTGTCCAAGAAATGAATATTTGGAATGGAATAAAAAAAAAAAATGAATTTACGTCATTTGTTTCAGACGTAGATGAATGTGCAGTACCCGATCTTCAAACGGAAGTGTGCCGTTACGGATGTATCAACACCCAAGGATCTTACAGATGCGCTGAACCAATGGAGCTGAAGGATCAACCGATAGCAGACAGCCTCTCCATCACTTGCCTGCCCGGATACGAGGTGTCCGCAGACGGTATTTGTGTGGGTGAGTACCTGATCTTTACGATAAACCTACTGGACGTGTGATACCATCCAATTTTATCTATTCCATCTAATATATTTGAAACTTTTATAAAAAAAAAATGTTCTTTTTATACCCTTAGGAAATTTTACATTTCATTCGATTTTTCAATATTTAACTCGATGACGATACTTTTATTTATCGTTTATTTATTATTAGATGATATATAATTTAATTTAATATATAAATTTAATATTACTAAAATATATAATATTATTAAAAATGGAATTGAATAAAAAAATATAATAATTGCTAATATAATATATCAATTTTATAATAATACAAATCATTTTTGTCCATCATCGAGTAAACAAAAACGCGTATTAATAATAATACAAATGCAATATACAAGTTAATATTAAAAAATGATTTATAATAAAAATATATTACACATCGTCAAAGTTATTTCTCTATTGGATCGTTTGAAATTTCACATGACGGATTTCTATCAATGCGGTGCGAAATTTCATACGTTACGTTGTAAGTGTAATACCGAAAGTTGTTTCACCGTAGTACGTTAACTACAGTAGCTCGTTAGCATGTTGTTTAGTTATTTACTCAGTTATTCCGCGATATACAGAGGATTATACAGTTTAATGATAATAGATGCCTCTGGGGATGTTAAACTTTGTCCGCACGGACATAGTCAACCGATTTAGAAACACATAACTACTATACCTAACCGCATGACTATCTTTGAGGGGATACGCTTTGCAAAATTGTTACTTCTTCATTGACATTAATTATGGAAAATATCGAATTACATTATTCGTTTAAAATTGAAAGACAATTTTTTATACTTTTTTTTTTTATCTATTTTTTTTTTAAATATAATATATTTTGCATGATCAATTCGTACAGTGTTATTAAACTAATAACGTTGAAGATACCC